TTGGTACACCGAAACAAAAGATAAGTACCTGGGAGAAGAAGAGAACTGCAAAACGGAACTCAACAACTCACCTGTCGCTTCTGGAATAGCAGGTTGAGCGCGTTGAGTGCCATGTGCACATCTGCCAAGAAGAACAGGAAGTAATGAAACTTGAACGACGTTACTAAGTGGTACATCGTCTTGTCCGACTCCTCGAGCATAACGATGACAGCAGGCAGAACACATACGAATCGTGCGATTGCATCGCCACGACTCAACCAGCGGACGCTGTGGATCCCCTGGACCTCGAGGTTGGTTTGCGTGAACACTTCCTGCAGCTCCTTGAACTTGCGGTTGGAGTTGCTGGATCTACCAAGATCTTCCGCCACTGTGCGGATAACCGCGTCGATTATGCCAAGCTCGGGTAGTGCCTTAGCCGCCTCCTTTGCAACAAGCGCTTCCCTGCCACAGGTAGAAATGCACGGGTGGGGGTGTTAGAATTCGCACTACGACATACCACGTTGCACATCTCACACCGCAACAACACCACCACAGCAACAGTTTACCTGTGTGCGATGCAGTGAGAAGCCACCATGTGCGGGATCTTCAGTCGAAGACGCCCAATGAGGCCCGTGTCGTTGCCTATCATCACAGGTGCCCCATCGGTGCTGATACCCGCCACCTTCTCCAGCGGCAGGCTAATACTGTCAAGGAATCCCGTGATCTTAGCATAAAGAGATGCTGCATCACACTTCTCGACGGAGAGGTTAGTCGGAAACTCTGTGGTGACGGCATGCTCACGGAGAAAGGTTACAAACACAATCATGTGCTTCCCTTTGACGCGGTCCGTACTCTGGTCGCAGCTCAGACCAATGAATGGACTCGAATCAATGAATTCTCTCTGGCGCGCACGAAGGTGTGTCGCTATTGCGGCGGTGATCTCTTCAAATCTGTACCTGCACGGGCATCAACGCGTGTGGTTAGTGATAGCTTCACGTATATCACATCCCCCGACGATATGTACTAGAGCAGTGTCACTTACGTCGTGTAGTAGGCACCATAACTGCTCTTTGGGAAGCCCGGTGTGCCACGTTGCGCTAGATGTTGGACGAGGTCGACGTACATCTCGATCGGGGCGTCGGACTTAGCGATGAAGATTGCCGTCTCAAATAGCGCGAGCAGGCGCTCCTTCTTGACGTCTTTCACCTTCTTGTTGTCGTCAATCCGGCGGTTAGCTTTGAGCGCCGCCTCGGCTGTCCTTTGTTTGCGCAGAGCGCGGCGGTGCTTCCTTGTGCGTTGATGCTTCCGCATTGCCTGGGTCTGCACATCGGTCGCCCCTTCTCCTTTGGCGCCGAAGTTCGTGCCCACACCGCCGTGCGCAATGCAGACCGAGCACTTGATTGACGGGAACCCTGCACTCGTCTGACACAGAACAAGCCACGAATAGTCGTCACACCACTGTTTGTTGAACATAAATAAGGCATCCTGGTATTTCTCCTCGGCTATGTCGGGCAGTTCTGTTTCGGAGGTAGCCTCAACCGCTTTCCCCTTCTGTTTACGCTGTCGGGCCTCCGGGGAGGAGTTCCCCACACCAGACGTTGGCGTAGCTTGACTGGCACCCCAGTTGATCTTTGTTTGGCGGTACGTCACTTTGATACCCCTTTTGAGACGGGGTCCGACGCGAGTAGTTCCGGCAGCGACAGGATGACGGTTCCGTGTGGGTTTGGGAGCGGCAGGAGTTGATGCGGCAGCGTCAGGAGTTGATGCGGCAGCATCAGGAGTTGATGCGGCAACGGCAGGAGTTGATGCGGCAGCGACACGAGGTAATGCGGCAGCGCCAGCATGCGACGAACACTCACCCTGCGTCCAAATGGTAGGTGCCTCAGGGCCCAAGGAAGGGAAAACAACGGTAGGAGCTGATGGCGAGACTAACACGGGAGCAGCTGAAGCTCGTCGTAAGAAGTCTAGGCCAGTAAGGGCGGCTGGCTTCGTGGCTGGGACGGATTCAGGGTTGTCACCTGCGGGCGTTGGATCCGCCATGGCTGCTCAGCTGTGCTGAGCGTGCCGAGCTTGAGAGGGAAGCTACTGCCAAGTTGAGCTCGAACGTCACTTCCTGCAGGGGTTCACGACGAGTGCAGGAACAGAATGAGGGAGTAGATGGGGGTACCCCCTCTCCCGAGCCGCCATGGCGAGGGATCGTGGTCCTTGGTTTCCGTCTTTCCATGCAAGATGACAACACCCCCACCCACCCCACTGCCATATTTTATGGCGTGTTGGTGTGGACCGTGCCAGCAGTGGTGTGCTGTCTGTGTTCTCATTGGGCAGTTGTTGAATAAGGTTCATCGTACTCTGGTGTGATGGCTTCCAGCGAGGCAAAACGGTTCGGCGCGCACATGCTGTAAGTACAGCGCATGTGAAAAGATTCCAAGTGTGTGGGTGGGGTGGGGTTTCGTGGGAAGGTACAGTCTGTAAACGCGTCCCCCCCCCCCCCCCCCCCCCCCCCCCCCCCTCGCGCGGTCAAGTCCGTTTCAGTGTGACTCGCTGAAGTGTACTGATTCGTCAGTGTTACTTGTTCTGAAACACGCAAAATGGTCAGTGTGGCAAAATTGCAAACACCGTAAGCCCCCGGATAGAAGCGCAGGCCTCGGATAAGCGCCGGCGCTTATAAAAGGATGAGGGCGCTTATATCCGGTCCTCGATTATAAGCACACCCCTGAAGGCTTACGGATTATAAGCGCCACCCTCTTCTTTTTTATTATAATTTTACTGAAATCGTTGTAACGAAACTCAACATTTTCATTCCCACATTTTGAATTTCGATGCCCCCTCACCCTCGCCCAGCTCACTGGCAACGCGTCCAGTCAGAATGAGCTGTTAAGGGCGCACGTTGACTCATTCTGACTGTGTGTGTTGGCAGAGGGAGTCAATCCTTGCCAACTTGCACGCGAGATTCTCAATCACAGCCTTGTACAGTATAGTTTCACATTCTGACTGTGTGTGTTGGCAGGGAATCAATCCCTGCCAACTTGCATGCGAGATTCTCAATCGAACCGTGTTTAGTTTCGACTCGATTCAATTCGCAAGAACGGGATCTACAGTTTGGTGGAAAAACGACGAATTTCATATATGCTATTATATAAGCACCGGCGCTTATAAAAAATCCTCAACTATAAGCGCACCCCCTTAAAAAACGTGTTTTTTTTATAATCCCAGGGGCGTTTCTATCCAGGGGCTGACAGTACTGAAACTACAGTGCAAAAATGAGGCATATACTGATTTTTCAGGGAAAACGGAAATCAGAGCTACAAAATCAGCGTAATCAGCGTGTTTTACGCTGATATCTGAGGGCTTGGTCCGGGTGATTACGATACATGCGATGGAATATAAATGGTCCTAAATAGCCATGTACTTAGAAGGGGTACATTCTCTTGGTGATCGCTCAAATACCACACCACGTCTTCATTGGCCGGATGGCTGCCCTTGATATAGCACTAAACTGTCTTCCTCTCTTTGCCCTCATCTGCGCTGGAGACTTTTCATTACGGAGAGACAATGAAGCTGCTTCACGAATCGCAAATGCAAGGAGTGTGAGGGCAGCAGCAGTAAAGAGGCTGAAAGCAGCAGCTGTGAGTGTGGTAAGGCGAGAAGCAGGCTTGAGAGGAGGAGGGGCAGGAGGGGTCTGGGTGGAAGCAGATGACCGCTGAGGCACTGGCGATGCCGGTGCTGCAGTTAATTTCGATGCTGAAGTTGATTCCGGTGCTGCTGCGGGTGCTGGAGCTGCTGTGGGTGCTGCCCCTGAAGCATGGGACAGAATCACATACAGTGGCAGATAGACACATACCACTCAACTACCAGCACACAGAAGCTGCATGCACATATGTATGTCATACTTATACACCCTTGTGCAACACATCTTCTAAAATAACCGAGACATTTAAAGTAATGTGCATACATATGCACAGCATGCACCTGGGGGTGCAGGCAAGCAAGCATCCACACACAGCAAGGCACAGGCACGTACACTTGAGGGGCGTGCAGGAGGAGCAGAAGGAGAGGCAGAGGCGGCAGAAGGAGGAGGCGTTGCTCTGCTTCACCCCACACTCGCTGCCGTCTGCCGGGCAGGTCAGCCCCGAGCCAGAGATGTTGCTGGCAGTGAGGGGGGTGGAGAGGGGGGAAGGATGCAGATAGGTGAGGTGAAAACGGGAAAGGTCGAGGGGAGGAGGCAGTGTGGCCAGTGCAACATGCTAATGTGCTGATGATTGTGTGATAATTGCGCAGCACCAGCATCAAAACATGCATGCATGTGGTGGCCTGGCTTCAAGCAACACAGATCTGGCATGGATAAATGGAGGCATGGGTGCATGGGTGCATGGGTGCATGTGCGCATGGGTGCATGGGTGCATGGGTGCATGGGTGCATGGGCACATGGGTGCACAGGTGCATGGGTGCAGGGCTCACAAGTAATAGAGGTTGCCAAAGACAGGAGGTATGGGACCAGTCAAGTTGTTGCCTCCAAGGCCCCTGCCATTTCATTCCATGCCATGCCATGCCATGCCATTCCACGTTACACCATGCCATGCCATGCCATTCCACGTTACACCATGCCATGCCATGCCATTCCACATTACACCATCCCATGCAAAGCCAAGCGACCCACACATGAGTACTTCAGCGAGCATCCTCGCTGCTTCATAGTGCCTGCAAGCCATTGGCCCCACAGAGTTGCACAAGGTGAAAGATGGAACAGGCATGTATCGCCCTTCCCAATCCATGCCCCTCCCCCAGTCCCAGTAAGTGTGCGTACAGAGAGAAGAGGGACTCGGACAGGCCGGTTGCAGGCAGGGAGCCCTCCAGCTGGTTGTGAGCGATGGAGCTGGGAAGAGGGAGAGGGAGTGGGTTGGGGAAGGGAGGGAGGGGGGTGAAGCAAGCACACATGGCGTCAGCACGAGATGAACGGCAGCAGCAAAAGATGCACGGAAGGAACATGGGATGCACGGGGAGGGTGGAAGGGATGGGCTTACAGGGCTGTTAGCGAAGGCAGGGTGAAGACGGCAGGGGGCACCACTCCAGTGAACTGATTGTGAGAGATGTCACTGATGGGGTAGGGATGCATTGAGGGAGGGGGGGGAGGGGGAGCGGGAGGGGGAGGGTGGAGAGGAGGGGGGCGGGAGTTGGTTTGAACCAGCTCTGCCAGCATAAACATTGAACGTTGTCAAAGCGTGACACAAAGGTACGCATTCATGCATGCAGGAGGCAGCTCGAAGGCATTGACCGGATGGCTCACAAGCTGTTGAGTGTTGTGAGCGTTGTGAGTTGTGCGGGCAGTGGTCCAGAGAAGTTGTTGGCTGATAGATTGCTGCGAGGAGACAGCAGAGGCGGTTGAGTGGATCACATAGGCCCGTTGCTTGCTTCTAGGCGAACACAATTCAGAGTATGAGAATGATTATTGCTGGGTCGAGACATTGGAGATTGAAAAAAAGGAAGGAAAGAAAGAAGGAAAGAAGGAAAGAAAGAAGGAAAGAAGGAAAGAAGGAAAGAAGGAGAGAAGGAAAGAAGGAAGGAAAGAAGGAAGGAAGGAAGGAAGGAAGGAAGGAAGGAAGGAAGGAAGGAAGGAAGGAAAGAAAGAAAGAAAGAAAGTAAGAAAGAAAGAGCAAAGCACTTTCATGGACCCAGATTTGACAACGAGATGGGAGAGGCACGAGTGAGGGGAGAGTGCAGGAGACTGGAGTGGGGCTGCAAGGGCGCCCCATGCAGTGGTTCAGTGCGTGCAAGCACCACAATTGGGTGAGGCACAGCCTGAAATGAGCACATGCGTGCGGAGTGTGCGATGCTGAGCAGCTGAGATGAGCAAGTGCGGGAGAACTCTCAGAAGTGAGAGAGCATGCATGCAGCAGGGGTGGGCATGGCATGTGTGCATGCGTACAGCTTTCTGTACTGCGGTGCGGAAAGAATGGCGGAGGGGAAGGGCCCTGTGAAGCTGTTGTTGGATATGTCTCTGCAGAGAGGAGGGGCGGGGAGGGGAGGGAGGGCAGGGGGGGCGGAAAGGAGGACAGGCAGGGAGGGGAGGGCAGGAAGGGTAAGGAAGAGGGTGGGAAGTGAGGGTGGGGGAGGGCGAGAAGGGTAAGCTGCATGGAGAAGGTGAGAGGTGAGGAGTGGAGTAGCAGAGTGGAGGAGCAGAGTGGGGGAGATGCATGAGGGACGTGGGGAGGAGGCGTGTCATACAGTTCGGCGAGGGCGAGCTGTGCAAGGGGAGCAGGGAAGGCGCCTGACAAGTTGCACGACCCGATGTTGCTGTGGGGGAAGCAGGGCAGGGCAGGGCAGGGGTCACCACAGGAGGGCAGGCAGTGTGGCAGCGAGGAGGGTGAGGGAGCAAACGGACATGGCACGCAGGAGCAAAGGGAAACGAGCAGACTGAGCTGCAATGGAGACGGAGGAGCAGAGGAGGAGACGAAGAGGCGAGGGGCACGGCACAGCGAGGAGGATGCCTGCAGGCATGACACAATTCAACGCGGCGAGGCGCAATGCCATGCAGCGCGGTGCTCACAGGGTGGAGATGTTGGTCATGCGTGCAAGCACGTCCAGGCCGCCCGAGAGAGCGTTCTGGCTGATGTCCCTGTGGGGGGCAATGGGGCATGGCATGGCATGGCATGGCAGGGGTGAGGCATGGGGGTGGTAGATGGGGTAAGAAGACTTACATGTTTGCGATGGAAGGAAGTGGGAGAGAAAGGTGGGGAAGGAAGGTGGGGAAGGAAGGTGGGAGAGGAAGGTGGGAGAGGAAGGTGGGAGAGGAAGGTGGGAGGCGGAGGTCCCATAGGTGGAAGGGGATGCAGCGGGCTTACACATTTGCAATGGAGGGGGAGATGGTGATGCCACACGTGGAATGGAATGCATGGGGCTTACACATTGACGAGCGGGCTTACACATTGACGAGCGGGCTTACACATTGACGAGCGCAGGAAGGTTTGCCAAGGATGGTGGGATGGGCCCTGACAGATCGTTGTAGCTCACATCCCTGCCGTGAGAGACGGCGTGCAGGGGGGGAGAGAAGCGGGGGAGACGAGAGAAGTGTGTGTGGGAGGGTGGTGTGCGTGTGGAAGGAAGTGAGTTGGATATGGGGGTTGTTTGGGGGTCTTGTGTTGGGGGCGGTGCATCATCCGACCCACACTTGGTACTGCAAGTTAAGCACAGCCATGACTTGACGGCTGGAAATGCAGGTGGCACGAAGGTGGGAGATGGAGGTGGGAGATGGAGGTGCCAAAAGTGGGTGGGTTGAAGGGACTCACAGAATGGCAAGGGCAGCAAGGCCTGAGAATGATGCTGGAGTGGGCCATGTGAAACGATTGTGGCTCAGTTTCCTGTGGGACGGGAGAGATGGAGTGGGTCAGACGCCTGTGGACACTTGTGGACGCTCATCAAGAAGTTTTCGCATCCCATGCATCCCATGCCTTGCATCCCATGCCCCCCATGCCTCCCATGCCTCCCATGCCCCCCATGCCTCCCATGCCTCCCATGCCCCCCATGCCTCCCATGCCCCCCATGCCTCCCATGCCTCCCATGCCTCCCATGCCCCCCATGCATCTCACAAGCCACAACCCGCCACTCACATGACCTCCAGGAGGTGCGGGGCAGCAGGAGAGGCGGAGAAGGGGCCCTCCAGGGCGTTGTGGCTCAGCGAGCTGCCCAGAGCAAGCAATGGGGAGATGGGGGGCAACGCAAGGGGGCACAGCAGTTGGTGGGTTATTGGGGAGGGCTGTCCATGCGAAGTGAGAAGTTTGCATGTGCGTGCGCGCTGTGCAGGCAAGCAGGGAGCATGCACTGTTTGAATCGAATGGACAAGCGTGGCAGGATGGTAGGCAAGCAGAAGAGAGCAGAGAGGATGGCACGGAGCACAGTCCACGAGAACAGACCCTATAGCCCAGTATCCACATGCCTCTCCTTTTCTTCCCAGCCGACCTCTCCTCTTGGTTGACTCACAGGCTAACCAGAGATGAGGGCAACACAGGCAGCGAGCCAACCAGGGCGTTCTGGGAGAGATCCCTGCAGGCAGGCGGGCAGACGGGCAGAGAGGCACGCAGGCAGTCAGGCAGGCAGGCAGGCAGGCAGGCACGCAGGCAGGCAGGCAGGCAGGCGGGCAGGCAGGCAGGCAGGCAGGCAGGCAGGCAGGCAGGCAGGCAGGCAGGCAGGCAGGCAGGCAGGCAGGCAGGCAGGCAGGCAGGCAGGCAGGCAGGCAGGCAGGCAGGCAGGCAGGCAGGCAGGCAGGCAGGCAGGCAGGCGGACAGGCAGGCAGGCAGGCAGGCACACAGAGAGCGAGGGAGAGATGCTGCACGGTTTCAGGATACAGAATACTAGGCACAACGGCACTGTTGCTGCAAAACCGCAACATATGAAGGGTAAGCCACGAGTGTGCTAATGAGAAAGGTGCCCGAGCGGTCATGAGAGGCGTGGCGTACAGCTCTGAGAAGCCAGTGAGGGCGGAGATGGTGGCGGGGTAAGGCACGCGCCTGCTAAAGACGCGAAAGGTGCTGAGGACTCATGGGAGGCGTACAGCTCTGAGAGGGCGGTGAGGGTGGAGATGGTGGTGGGGAGGGAGCCTGAGAAGCCGTTGCCCGCTGCCCTCCTGCGATGGGGGGGAGAGTGGGGTGGGATGTGCAGCAGAGAAGAGCAGAGAGCCAGGAGTTATTCATGAGTGGGGGGAGCACAATCATATGACACACACAGAGAGGGCGAAAGGGCTGCCGAACAGGCTTGTTTGGATGAAATGAACTGGATATAATGCTCAATCCTCGCTCGTGACGTGGGTCGGCCCGCCGCGTGAGGCTGCTGCTGCTGTGCGCGCGTGCCCCAGTAGCAGTTGCTGCTGGCATTCTGTGGCCTTGATACACATAAACAAGGTGAATCATGGGCATCAGCAGAGCGACACACGAGCAGCAGGCAGGGTGACAAACGAGCAGCAGGTACGCAGGCAGGTGGGCAGGCAGGAAGGAGGCATCTCACAGGGTGTTGAGGCTGGTGAGAGCTGTCCAGTCGGCTGGAAACGGCGAGGAGCGCGCGGGGGAGAACAAGGTGGTGAGGCTGTCGGGTGCTGTCACATCCCTGGGGAGAGGAGGGAGAGTAAGGCGAGTGGTGGGGAGAGAGCAAGGTGGTTGATGAGGAGAGAACATAGTGGGTGGTGTGGAAATAGGACGGTGGGGGATGTGCAGAGAGCATGGAGGGTGGGTGGTGCAGTGCAATAGTGCAACGAGGGGTCGACAACGTGAGAGTGACGTGAGAGGATTGCTAGAGCCTAAAGGAATGTGAGAGTTGCGCCTCCTGACTCCTGAGACACGAAGAAACGGGGGGAAAGACAGGGTTGGTGGAAATTACAGGAATTGCAGGTGCGGGAGTTGTCCGATCCACGATGGCACGCTGGTGAACTTGAGATAGCTCAGGTCACTGCTCCATGGGGGAAGGCGGGAAGGGGCGTGGTTGGTAACGTTGCTGGCACGCACAAGCAATATGAGCTACTTGCCTAATCACTGGGGAGAACATGCATCATCAGCAGGTATCAAGGAAGAAGGATATCAACCATCCACGAGCAGCCGCTGTACCGTTGCAGGCTAACCTTTACGTTACGCCCTACTTGGTGCAATGCAGCAAGCACAGAGAGGGCGAGGCACGGAGGGAAGCAGAGAGGGGCCTCAGCAAGCGGCGGTGTAAGTCCACAACTCGTGGGGGAATTGTGTCTGTATGCAATGCAATGCAGCAAGCCGAGGTGACTTTTGAGTCGACTTGAAAGTCATGTCTGTGTCTGTACTCAGCAAGCCGCACTGTAAGGCCTTACTGGCCGTTACGTACAGGTGGGCGAGATTGGTGAGGGCGGAGAGAGAGGCAGGGAGCTCTCCTGCAGCGAGGTCGATGTGTCCGAGGGAGCTGGTGGGGGTAAAGAGGAGGAGGAAAGAGAACGGAGAATTAAAAGAAAAAGAGTGAGGGGAGGAAACATGAAGACAGGATTTAGAATAGTGACGCCAACCTCTGAATTGGAACGTGAACTTGGTTATCTAGTCAAGGTGAAAGACACCCCACTCTCTCAACTGCATGCACACCTCCTCTCATTCCTCTCACACACCGATTGTCGACACACTCTCATCCCTGTTGTCGACACCTGTACGCTTCAGTGGGCGAGAGGGCAGAGCAGTGAGGGAAGGCCGTGACTCACAGATATGTAAGGGCAGTGGCTTTACCGAGGGAGGCGGGGATCTCCCCAGTCAGCGCAGTGCCGAGCAGATCGCTGCCGTGTGTGGTGTGGTGGGGAGGACAGATGGGGAGTTGAGTGCGCTTGCGTGAGACCAAGGGTATGAGGGGATAATACAAAAGCGATTGAGCGTCGGGCATATGAGGGAGGAATGGAATGAACAGCCGCGCAATCTTGAGAGTTTTCAAAAGGGGATCCAGTACACAAGGAGAAGTGAAGTGCAGAAGAACGGGGGCGTACAGGGATTGCAAGGCGGGCAGGCAGTCAAGAAACTCCAGGCTGCCGGTCAAACCGTTGAAGGAGAGATCGCTGCAGGGCGGTGAGGTGCAGAGGGTTGGAGGGAGATGAGGAGAAGGCTTATGAGAAAGAGAACCATCGGTCACACGATGAAGGAGAGAGAGCAAGGGAGTACGAGGCGAGTATGGATGGTGACGGGACCTGAGGGTGCGAGTTGTGGAAAACGAGAGAGAGAGGCACGGCTCACAGTTCCTGGAGAGCGGTGAGGTTGCAAAATGCGTCCATGGGGATGGGGCCCGCGAGGTCCAGGCCGCCCAGGTTCCTGGTGCCACGCAGGAGAGTGGGGAGAATGGGGAAGGGGCGTGGTTGGTAACGTTGCTGGCACGCACAAGCAATATGAGCTACTTGCCTAATCACTGGGGAGAACATGCATCAGCAGGAGAGGAGAAGAAAGGAGAGGAGATGAGAGGAGAGTCTCTTGTTTTTCTAGGGTTGAGAAAAAAGGGACGGGAGGAAACGGGAAGACAGGGAAGCCATAGTGAAAGCGACCGCTATGTAGCGAAACAAAATGGATTGAACAGTGCCATGATATAGAACACACACTAGAGAGGAACTGCCGAGCCAAGGCACAAGAGAAAACAGAGAACGCAAGTGGGAGGGAGGGACACACCAGTGCATGTGGCCCTCAACTTGGACATAACAAGAACAAAAACCCACGTTCTGAACTATCATGCATGCTTCCTCTCCTGTCTTTCACACACCTCCCCTGTTGTTCACACCTGTACGCTCCGGTGGGCGAGAGGGCAGAGCAGTGAGAGAAGGCCGTGACTCACAGGTATGAGAGGGCGGTGGCTTTGCCGAGGGAGACGGGGATCTCCCCAGTCAGCTCAGTGGCGTGCAGATCACTGCCGTGTGTGGGGAGGACAAATGGGGAGTTGAGTGCACTTGCGTGAGACCAAGGGTATGAGGGGATAATACAAAAGCGATTGAGCGTCGGGCATATGAGGGAGGAATGAAATGAACAGCCGCGCAATCTTGAAAGTTTTCATAAGGGGATCCAGTACACAAGGAGAAGTGAAGTGGAGAGGAACGGGGGCGTACAGGTATTGCAAGGCGGGCAGGCAGTCAAGAAACTCCAGGCTGCCGGTCAAAGGGCTGAAGGAGAGTTCACTGCAGGGCGGTGGGGTGCAGAGGGTTGGAGGGAGATGAGGAGAAGGCTTATGAGAAAGAGAACCATCGGTCACACGATGAAGGAGAGAGAGCAAGGGAGTGCGAGGCGAGTATGGATGGTGACGGGACCTGACGGTGCGAGTTGTGGAAAACGAGAGAGAGAGGCACGGCTCACAGTTCCTGGAGAGCGGTGAGGTTGCAAAATGCGTCCATGGGGATGGGGCCCGCGAGGCCCTGGCCGCCCAGGTTCCTGGTGACACGCAGGTGAGTTGCAGGGAAGGATAAGAGGAGACGGTTGAGGGGGCGTTTGAAGGGGGGGGGATGGCCTGACGAAGGTGAGTGAGCCAAATGGAAAAGAGCGAAAGGTGTGTTTTCAAGATATCAAAAGGAAGAACGTCGTGAGGAAGAAAGGATGCACACACTTTCACACGCATGCACACACTTGCACACGCATGCACACGCGCGCGCGCACACACACACACACACATGCACACGCACACGCACGCACGCACACACGCACGCGCGCGCGCGCACACACACACACACACACAGCGCCTGTTAGACCCAGCGGCAGCATACATTCCTGAACCCAGCATGTGTCTCACATGTCGGTGACCATGCCTCTGCCGTCACATATGACGCCCATCCACTGGGAGCACATCTCCGCCGCTTCCCACCCCGTCAGCGCCACCAGCGCCGACACTGCCAGTTCCGCCGCGGAAGGGAGGGGGGAGGTGAGGGGGAGAAGGGGGGAGAAGGAAGGAATGGGAAGGGGGAGGGGGAGGGGAAGGGGGAGGCGGAGTGCGAGGGAAAGGGGAGAGGCCAGAGAGAGGGGAAAGGAGAGAGGAAGGGAGGAGAAGAAGCCTTGCGATCACGTCAGCATGGCCGGAAGGCGAAGCAATGGCGCATGCCAAAGCGGAATCGATTTAGGTTATGACAATGATCGTGGCTGACGTTACGTTTATATCGCGTACAAAGGCGACTCACATTGCGAGGGTGCGAGCTTCACATCGCCCGGCGGGCTCGCTGCGGCTGGCTGCGCCACCTCGGCGCTCAGGCGACGAGCGACGGACGGACGACGAAATTCTGCGACGAATGTGGCATCTGTCAAAGCACGCCGCGACAGGCGCTTAGTCACCACACTGCTGCTATGAGCGCCATCCAGAGCCGTGGTAGTGGCGGCGCCGGTGATCACGGTGGCGGGGGAGAGGAGAGCGGCGAGTAGCAGCACGCAGGCGAGGAACGCCATGGTGACGTGGCGAGGCTGATGCGAGGCGTGTTGATCTTGCTCGCGGAAACACGCGATTGGCGAAAGATGATGATGCTTTCAAAACGAGCGTGATGCGTGCGAAGCTAGCTGAGTGCGAGAGTCGCAGGTATGCGATTGCGCCAAGAATGACTCGTTTAAATGACTGGAAGGCTTGGGACACTGACACTGGCGAGTGAGTCCGACTGCCCTGGATTCGCAACAGTGTCCTGTCCCGAAGCCGACCGGGCCCGACGGTCCTGAATTCCTCCATGGAGCCGACTGGTGGTTCTGGCAACCCCGCAACCCTACTTGTCCCATACTTGTCCCACACGCATGACTGATACGCTTGACCATTTTCGCGAGTCAACACCGACGAGGAAAGAATGCTCTGGCTTTGAGAGTTTTGCCAGAGAAGCAGATTTCTCGAAAATTGCTTGCGCGTGTAGGGTCGATTCGCTGCAGTAGTCGAAAATTGGTGCCATTTTTGCAGAATATCCCAACGGAAACGGGTCGTCAAGTCTGACGACCCTCTGACGACTTGACGACATGCTGCCCCGGGCAGAAAAAAACTAAAACCCCATCGGATGGCATGCCATCCGAGGGAGGCCTCAACCCTAAAATCCATGCCTCCCCGTGTTTAGGGTTGATGCCTCCCTGACCGGATGCATGCCCTTCTGGGGTTTAGTTTTTTTTCCCGCGCGCAGCGAGCTCTGCCAGGCGACGACCTGCTCGCGCTAAGATATTCTCGGCCGTAGTCAGTCCAGGTTTTTCCAATGCCGACATAATGCCTAAATGTTATCTTGTAGCCCTGAAAATATGATAATTCAGATTTCGCACACTTAGTTCACGTCTCATTAAAAAAAAAAAAAAAACCTCTCGGGAAAGGTGTGCAACGAGCGAGAGGCATCTGTCAAGATACTAGCACACGTGGTAGTTAGGTTTAGGGCCCAGGCTTAGTAGCCTAGGCCAAGGGGGAGTCGAGTTGATTTGTGTCAAGAGAAAAAGTCGAGAATGGGAATGATGTTCATTATAGCAAGAGGGTACATATAGCAAACAAGTGAAGAAAGAGGTGCACCGCCTATAAAGTTAATATCTACACTACAGTTATAACTACATGCAAGTGTTGAATATAATTCTGACATCCCCCCGTAACTGCATGCAGGAATAGCTAAGCGCAAAACACAACCTGCAGGGGTACACCACAGACTCAGAAAACAGCAACAGCAGGCAAGGCAACAGAGCAGGTACAACAGCAAAGGGGCAGGCGACAGCAAGACACTCCTGCCACCCCCTTACTCTCCTCCCCCTCCGACCACAGGAGGGGCGGCAGGGAGAGAGGAGGCGGGCTGGCGCTGGCTGGTCACCCCCTCCATCCCCTCACCCTCCCCCTCCCCCTCTCCCTCCCCCTCCCCCTCCCCCTCCCCCTCCCCCCCACACTACTGCAGGAGCAGTAGAGGGGGGAAGAAAGGAGAGGTGGAGGGACGTCTGCTGGTTGGTCTCACACCCGCCACCCCAGTGCCACTCCTCCGGCTCCCCCACACCCTCACACCCTCCCCCCCAGCGGCAGCTGCAGTAGTGGGAACGAAAGGAGGAGGAGTTGAAGGGAAGCACACCAACCATCACCCCTACACCCGCCACACCCATACCCTCCCCCCCACGGCTGCAGGGAGACGAAGGAGGAGGGGGGGGGGGGGCGGGGAGAAAGCCGCAGAGCGGCTACAGAGGGTTGGCGCGGGTAGGGCAGGGGCGGCTGCAGCGAGTGCAGGCGCGGGGTGAGGCAGAGGCGGCTGCACCAAGTGCAGGAGCGGGGGCGGCTGCTCCAAGGGCAGGCGCTGGGTGGTGCAGGGGCGGCTGCACCGAGAGCAGGCGCGGGTGAGGCAGGGGCACCATCGCGGGCGCCAGGGGTGGGTCCGCGGCGGCTTAGGGCACCGTCGCGGGCGCCAGGGGCGGGCCCGCGGCGGCTCAGGGCACCGTCGCGGGCGCCAGGGGCGGGTCCGCGGTGGCTCAAGGCACCGTCGCGGGCGCCAGGGGCGGGTCTGCGGCGGCTCAGGGCACCGTCGTGCACCACGGGGCACGCGACAGGCAGTTCAGGGCACCGGCGCGTGCCACGGGGCGCGCGACGGGCAGAAAAGATGTCACGCGCCACCCGGGCGCGGGACAGGACGAAAATCGCCACGCACCCGAGGCGCGCGACCGGAAAAACAGCAGCGGAAGCGTGAGGCGGGCCCATAAGCCAGGACTTAACAGTCTCTAATACCATGTCAATATACTAGCACAAGTGGTAGTTAGGGCCTAGGCTTAGTAGCCTAGGCCAAAGGGGAGTCGAGTTTGATTTGTGCCAAGAGAGAAAGTCAAGAATGGGAATGATGTTCACTATAGCAAGAGGGTACATATCGCAAACAAGTGAAGAAAGAGGTGCACCACCTATTAAGTTAATATCTACACTACAGCTAGAACTACATGCAGGTATAAGAATATAATTCTGACAGCATCAAGCCTTAACACATTGTCGCCTGGTGTTTAAGGTTGATGCCTCCCTAAGTCGCATGCCATCCGAAATAGTTCTAGTTTATTTCAGCCTATATGTATGAGGAAATACCTGAACATTTATGGGTATTTTCCATTTACAAAAAATACTACCGAAAACATCTGGGCTGACTGTTGCTGCAAATACGGCACGAATTTTCGACTATTGCGACAACAAATTTTTGAAATCCGCTTCTGTATAAAACCTCTGCGGAGATTCACTCTACGATGGTCGAGAGCTAGACAACACGGGTTGGCACGAGTTCTGTGAGTGATCGTAGCTTGTCTGCGTTCCTTAGCACTTGCACATTCACGGGAGAAGTTGGCAAGCGTTTCCACTATGCAAAGTTAAGATTACAGAATGATTGAAATCATAGTGGCAAGAATGACTATATTAGAGCCTAGCAACCTGGTCGACCGCCAGCGCAGCATGGTCGACAGCCTGCCAGCGTTCCGTAGAGGAGCCGCGCAAGCGCTGCAGAAAGGCGGTCGTCCAACGTTTCGCCTGTAGATGACAGCAGCACACATGCTCCAAGGTGCTCGCAGATAATTGGCCCGACATGCACTGCCACATGCCCGTTGGCTGTTGTCTGCGCCTGATCAGCCACATCGATCTTGGGATACCAGCCCGAAGTCGCCTTCACCATCGCGACCTCGACGACGCTCGCATGCCTCCGCAGAACCTCGTCAAGCAGGTTACCTGGTCGACCCGATCGTCCACCCAATGCATTGATTGACGACCTCCCTCGTCGGCCACACCTCCCGTCGAGGACCACCCCGGTCGGCGGACCCCTCCGTCGACCAACTCGGTCTACTGCTACCGTCGAGCTCAATCCGTCGACGGCTCCTCAAAGGTCCGGGGCAGGTCGACGAACCCCTTCGTCGACCACGTCAGCTTCGCATCTGTCTTCTATAGGTCGACCAACTACATCGAACTCTGCAGATGGTTGGCCGCACCTCCCACGCACCCAACCACAAAATCGACTCCGCCCAAGCGAGGACGGGGACAACACCCAACTTCCGACACGGTAGTACTCCACGGAGAAAATTCGTCACCGACGTGAACCCCATACGCAGCACGCCGTCACCGCACCAGCCATACAGAATGACACAGCACTTACTGTTGCACGTCATCATCACCATCACCGACGTCGGCCACGTGGACTTGGCCAATTGCGACGGAGCACCGGTTGAAGGCTGGAAAGTGCGGCGCTTTCGTCAGGAAGTCAGCCCGCTGCTTGGTGGTCGGGATTTCAGCACCCGCCTCACCATGTGCTGCAGCCAGGCATATCGCCTCTCCATGTGCCCGAAGTCGACTTTCCTCCTTGCCAGCTTCCGTGGCCGCAACGTACTCCGACTCAGTCGACGAGAGCATCGCGCACTTCATGCGCTAGCTCGTGTAAAGAAATGAGGAATGAATTGACAAAGTTTGAAGAAAGGAAGAGGATTGAACTAGCAAGAATGGGGATACAAATAGCAAACCCTAGAAGGGTTGTACTCGCTATAGAGCACCCCACTTACAGGCTAGAACATAAGATAACATTCTAACACACCCCCATAGCCAAAGTGGGGTGTAATCAGCAGAGCAGGCAAAGCAGTACAAGCTCAGGGTGGATCACAATGTCACCACACATTCTGAGCACAAGTTCAAGAGGAAATAGTTTAGAGTTCACAATTATGAGCAAAGCTAGCGGTTGTCACAACGGGCAAGTGAGGAGGAGGAGAGAGAGTGAGGGGAGAGGAGATAGGAGGCGACGGCTGAAGCTGCAGACACACGGGCAACAGGAGGCAGACTGGCACAGCGGCTACCGGACTAAGCGCCCGGACTACAGGAGTAACATGCCCCGCGGCTAAAGTAGCGGCAGACGAGCAACGGACCCACGGGCGGCTGGCGTAGAAGTCTAGCTCACTGGGCTACCGGGACAACGCCCCGGACTACAGGTGCTGCGGACAACAGTACGGCAACCTTCATGCAGCTAAGGAAAGCGGGCCGGGCGACGGGTAGGGCGACGGGCCGCGAAGGAAAGCGGCGGGGCCGCGATGATGGGGCGGCGGGGTCGCGACAGGTCGGTGGCGGGGCCGCTACAAAAGGTGGCGCGGCCGCGACCGGAGGTGGCGGGGCCGCGACAGGTCGGTGGCGGGGCCGCGATGGTGGGGCGGCAGGGCCGCGACAGGTCGGTGGCGGGGCCGCGACAGAAGATGGCGCGGCCGCGACCGGAGGCGGCGGGGCCGCGACAGGTCGGTGGCGGGGCCACGACCGAAGGTGGCAGGGCCGCGAAGGAAAGCGGCGGGGCCGCGAGAGTGGGGCGGCGGGGCCGCGACGGGTCCCTGTCGCCCGTCGCGGCACCTTCAGAGGGCGACGTGGCGAGCGACGGGGCAGAAGCCCGCCGCGCGCCTCGGGGCGCACAGCGGGCAGAGAACCGCCGCGCGCCTCGGGGCGCACGGCGGGCAGAAAACCGCCGCGCGCCTCGGGG